AAAAAAATTAAAAACAATTATACCAAAAATAAAATAAAATAATTATTAAGGGCAAGTCTGCACAGTCATTGCTGTAATTGCTGTCAATAAATTATAAACCTGTAAAAAAAGAAAAGGCCCAGCAGGTAAGCAAGGGAGCCTAGGAGGAAGGGAAAACAAAGGGTCCAGCGTAAGCCAGATGGAGCTTGGCCAGAGGCCAGGGGCCAGGGGCTTGCAATAAGGAGAGCCAGGAAAAGGGTGGGGCACAAAGGCCCCATCAATCAGAAGTGGGCATCCTGGACAAACCCAAACACAGACCATTGCCAACCACTGTTGGATACTGACCTACTAATGGAGAATACTAGGTTCCTGGGGAAGTAGATAAGCCAAACATGAAAATGTGCTTCTTATCTATTAAATATTTATATTCAATCCAACAGTACTTGGAATAGCTCGTGGATCTTTTAAGAGCAGGATCCAAAGATCGAAGAGCCGAATAACAAAATGGGTAGAGAGTCAGGGATTATTATATATGGAAATCAGATCATAAGCTGTTTCAGGTAAATAGAACACTAGGTTCTCAGTATGTTCAAGTTCATTTGCACATAAGAGGGGGGTTGGAAGAGTAAATGGGCAACATGTGAGTAGCTGCCCAATGCTACTGAGTCTGTGATGACTCCTGGGGTCCCTAGAGGACAGAATAGAACTGTCTCATAGGATCCCCAGGGCTGGAATCTTATGGAAGCAGATAACCTCAACTTTCTCATGGAACGGCCGGTGGGTTTGAATGCCCAACCTTTCAGTTAGCAGTCAAGAACTTAACCACTGTGCCACTGGGACACCTTATTTGAATATAACTAGCTCCTAGCAAATCAAAGTAACCAAGAGAACAATTCCCTTTAAATGAATTAACAACATGTAGTTTCACAAATTTCAGACCTCAATCCTCCTGTTTTTCCATCTGGCACTATAAGATATTCTTTGGAATATACCCGATTCTTTCTAATGTATCATAATTTGTAAATTAAGGAAAAGTACATAAAAGCCTTTGGGAGTCCCTTGCCAAAACTGGGTACCGATTGTACACATTTGGCAAGCGCCATCTTTTCTGTGATTGGGCGGAAACTTCTGTACAATGTGTGACATATTTGTCTACAAAGACCCAGGCCTGCTCTGACTTCGCTGTTAAAAAAGGAACGCTGGAGCTAACAGTGAGAGCACATTAATACCTGAA